TCTACCTAGCATACCGTAATATTACAATGTAGAGAAACGCCATTTATGAAGGGGAAAGAAAAAAAAAAGTTCCACGATATCATATTATCATACCACTCAACCTTCTTTAACCAAATAGCGAATAGTTACTGCACCCTATTAGAGTAGCAACCCCGACGAAAGCGAAAGCCAGCCGGGTGGCCTAAAAGCTGAGTGATAACGAAAAACGTACAATGTTAGAAACTCTTCATCCGTACCCGTAGCGGAAATGACGTAAAAAAGGGCATTCTTTTGACGAGCCGAACAGGGGTTCAATCGTCATAGTTCTCATAAGAGGACCGTTCATTTCCAGCTTCAAGCCACAGTAAGGCATGACATGCTATACACATAGCACGCCCCGCTCACCTGCGCTTAAAAGGGAAAGAGAAATGGAAGGGAAAGAGAAACCGAAAGGGCATTAAAGAGCACAAGTATATGCTCACCAATCCGTAAAAGTTATAGAAAGAGAGGGACCTGGTCCCGAAACTTGGGCACAAAACGCCAGCCCCCAGGCGTTTTTACTTCTAGATGCCCTGTGAATTGACGAGTAAATCATCTGCATGATAAGACAGCCCATCAGGCGTTGGATAAGTCTGCGCTACAAAGGAGAAAGACACATTATTCCAATTACTGAATATCATAGCTCCATCTTCCCTTCCTCCCCCCGCCACTTCCTCGCAACTGTATCATTAAAATAGCCCTAAAAATACAATTTTCAAGAAAAAAAAACCAATGCCGAGCGAGTGATATGGCACCCTCGCCCTCCTCCTCTCCACCCGTACGCACCAAAGGATACGCGTGATAAGAAAAAGACCAAATTACAAGAAATCTGCAGCTCTAACTCTCCCTCCTCCTCCTCTTCTACCATAGCCCCCACTGACCGCAACGGGTCTTTCGCGTCTGCCGTCGTCGCGGCCGTCGTCGTCTCCCGATCGCGCGTCACTCCTGTATCTCTCCCTCCCTCTGAATGCATTTCCATTCCTGATGGAGAAGTCATCGTAGCGACTTCCCCTCCCACCGTGGCCGCTGCTTCTATAACCTCGGTCTGGGGTGTGGCTACGGTCTCTGCGGGCAGGAGGGGAGCGTGAGCTCCACCTCTTATAACTACCCGACTTTCTCGGGGGTGTCGGTGAACGGGAACCGCTGCGGCTTCGCGAAGAATAAGTAGCACTTCGGCGGCGACGATAACTCCCTACGGAAGAGTACGACCTAGATCTCGACCTTGCTCTGCAGCTTTTGCGCGGAGGTGGGGTGTAAGAGACCGATCTACGGCTAGAGGGGGATCTAGTCAGAGATCTAGACGGTGACCTAGAGCTTGTTATGCTACGGGTGTAGGAACGTCCCCGAGCCTTCTTTGCAGGTCTAGTGTTGGAACGGGACCTAGAGCGCGAATGTGAACGGGAATAGGAGCGGGAATAGGAGCGGGATCTCGACCGCGAAGAGTAGGAATCGTAACTACGGCTACGGCTGCGAGAATCGCGGGAGCTAGAATAACTGCGGCCCCTCTTCCGCCCTCCATGTTGCGCCCTTGGCGGGGACCTTGAGACTGACCGAGAGAAAGATCTAGACCTTGACCGGAACCTTGATCTTCCGGAAGACGAGCTTCTAGAGCGGCTGGAGTAACTTGAGCGCGAACTGGCGCTCTCCGATCGGGCAGACGGTGCAGCAATGACAGCGGGCGGTGGAACATGGTTTTTTAAATGTTCCCTCATATCCTCAGTAACACCACCCATACCGATACTGGTAAAGTAGTTAATCGAAAACCGAGTGTTTCGAGGATTGTCTTTGGGGAACAGTCCTGAGAACGCCTCTTGTAGGAAAGGGTCCTTTAACCGTTCCTGCAACTTTTTCATCCCCATCGCTTCGGCCAAGTCTTGGAAAAGAATTTTAATAAAGATACGAGAAGAAGCCGTAGTCTCTTCTTCGTTGATGTGCACAACAGAGAGCACATGCCAGCCCAATGCGTCAGTCGAGAGCTGGTGTCCGAAAAATCGTGCGATATTTCTAAGCCGGTTGGTTTCGTAACGATGGATAGTATCGTAGTACGTTCCAAACGACTCCTCAAACAAACCGGTCCAGAGTCGATTCAATTTCGCAAATCTCTCGCCGATGAGACCATAAAACTTGGTGTAAGTTCGCTCTTGGGAACAACACTCGATTACCATTGAGCAGAGCTCGTTTTCGAGGCCAGGAGGGAGAGTAATCTAAAAAAACATGTTGGTTTTTCTAACCCGATAGTGACAGTGAGTAAGAGGTAGCCTACCTTCATCAGTTTGTGACAACACTCTTCGAAGTCAATTGAAGACATGATGGTGAGGTAGATGGTTCTTCGGAGATTGACAAGATTAGTATTGGACTGATCCAGGATCTCCATCTTCCTGTCTTCCTGCTTCTCTTCATCCTCCTCGTCGCTACTCTCATCTTCGCCCGCCTCATCGTCACTCCCATCATCACTCCCCTCTCCTAAAATCTCAGCCTTAGTCTTCCGGTACAACTCCTCATGCTCTTCCCAATCAGTATCAAATTTGAAAATGTTTAATCCATCCTGGACATCAATCTCATCATCGAGCTCTGTCCTATGGGTGATCTGATCGTCCTCCTCCACCAAATCAAGCTCTTCCTTCATAATAGGATTATCCTTATACTTTTCCTTCCTAACTTGAAACAACACCTCAATCATATACTGGACACGTTTATCGATACCAGCCTCGTGAAGAATTGTCCGGAACTGCTCAAAAACAAGATTGTTTGCCCTTGGTGCCATTTCCTCCAAATGAGCCCCAACCTCCCGCATCAACCCCACAGCAATCTCCACTGAGTCATCCGTAGGCTTATTCAGAAGCAGCATGAGTATCTCGATGGCTAAGATCTCATCTGCGACCTGCTGGTTACAAAGCTGAGCAATAAAGGTTGTACTGCTCAAGCAAACAGCTTTATCGTTCCTCTTGAAAGCCTTCCTAAACTGTACCACCAACCGATTCAGGAGTAACTCTCCAACCTGTGGAAGTTTCGTGTTGACGATGGCAGTCATGGCGGCATAGATAGGGGTAAATGGGAGAGAAGCAGCTTGTGCCTTCATGATTGACCGACAGTAGAGGCCCCTTCCACGGATAAGATTTTCGCCGAAAAGTTCCGGGACGATATGCTTGATATTAGACACATTGACTTTGTTGATCAAACCGTTGATACTTTTCTTCAAAGCCTCCCAAGCCATCCGCTGATATTCCTTGGACGTCTTATCGGTAATCTGCGCCTGGAGTGCCCGTAGACGGGCAGGGGGGATATATGTACCACCAGACCTCATAGACAAAAGCTTCTCATACTCTGCCTTTGCATCGAATTTCGGTTTCTCCTCTACTTCCTTCTCCGTCCTCTCCGCCCGAACGTCAAGCTTTCTGAGACGATCATTAAGCTGACGATCCCTCTCCCGAGCGCGTCCGGAGTCGACACCGCCGAAAGAAGAAGTAAACCGAGATGGCCCACGAGGAGGCGAACGCCGACGACGGGGCGATCGGGACCTAGGACTAGGGGAACGCTTGCGCTTCGGTGGTGGTGGTGATGGGGACGGCAGACGAATTACCGATTGAACAACGACCTCATCGGCCTCGTCAATATCCATGGTTGACTGTTGGTGCGTAAGGGAGAAGCTCGGATATCTCGGAATAGAGGGGCCAGAGGTTGCAGTGGGGGACAATAAAAGAAAGGACGTTGGTGAAAAGGGTATTGAGGGGAACGGATTATGATCAGAAGTCTGCCCAGGAGTGTGAGGAACTCGCGTGTTAAATGCCACCCAGGTCAAAACTTTAGCTTCGGTTACGTAAGCGGGTCAAGAAAAAAAGTTTGCTCGTGATGGATAGAACCGAAAGCCAAGCACACCTTATACCGGCACCTGGCACCGGTACTGTATCAACGAGCACTACCGGTGTGGAAGTGTCTCGGTTGACTCCCCGTATTTTGGATGGTGTGATTGACCGAGCCGACACCTGTGCAATTTGTGATGACCATACAACGTAATATCCAATCAGATAAGAGTGTAGAATTATGCTGATAAAGTTGACAGTAAAACACAGTGAGAAAGCAAGTGAAAAGAGAGGGGAAAACAACACCCAGAAACAACAGTAAAGAAGGTGGTGGAGTTGGTCATACAGGATGGGTCCTCACTGTGTCATTCCTCCACTCTCTCTGAGGAAGGCAAGGTCATGCCTCCTGGTGACAAATATCTACCTGCTAAGCCTCATCCCAAACAGAAAATTCTATGGGTAAAAACCCAGAAAACATGACCAGAAAACCCCCAAAACCTTCCCCGCGCCACACCGGTAGTATGATATCATACTCGAGTACATCTCACTCTATATATTTACTAACCCTAACCCCGGCCTCGCCACACCTCTAGCATTCCAGAAGTTTTGTCAGTAATTACAATACTCGAGTAAATTATGACACTAGCAACTCACAGCTAAAGCCCTCAAGAGCCACCGCAAACCATTATGATACATGCTATTTCTTTCTTCATAATTATAACGAGTGATCTCACACGTGTCTGCATCCCCATTCCCATTCCCATTCCGCCTAAACCCTCTACGAATGACCGATCGAAAGCAGCCGACTTGTAATTCAACTACTACTATCATACACCGCAGCTATAAATTCCCCAAATTTTAGAGTCCTAGTGGGATAACAACTCCTTTCGTTCACATCCAAAACTTCGCCCCAGATTCTCCCTTCGGCCCGAAACTCGCTGACACTAAACCATATCCTATGATGTTAGTTCGTAGAAAGTTAAAGCCAAACAGTTACCACAACACCATAATAATTATTATAAACGACCCAATGTAAAAATAAAATCGCAACCCGCCAGACCCACACTAGCTCCAGCGACCGACATCTAAAAGCTCGATAAGGGAAATAACTAACGAACTAAGCTAAGTTACACACCACACCGCACCACAAGCAAACCATACTTAACACCAGCCCAACCACCCCTAAATCACCAAATACCTCTCCGTAACCTCCGCGGCAAGCTTCGCATTCCCACTCGTCATATAAATCATCTGTAGGTTATACGCAGCCTCCCATTTCAAGTCCCCATCAATCGTGTTCTCCTCCGAGATCTGAAGCACGCGTTCAAAATAGGGTATGGCCAGATGGGCGAGACCTAAGAAAAACCATTCCCGATCAGCACCCCTGAACCTCAAGTTTGTAAAGGGGAAGGCGGGGAAGGAATGATGAATACCAATATGCTGAAACGCCCTCCCAACATTATACTCCGCCTCCTGCCTCTTCTCTGGCCTCACATCCTCCCGCACCTCCTCCTGCTCCCCCGGTTTCCCACACCGAATATCATAATAATCAAAGATAAAACTAACCCCCTGCAACGCCATGACATGCCGATTCTCACTCTGGCGCTGCATACTCCTATGTAGATATGCCAGGCCTATGCAAAATGTGATAAGCGCATCCCCTGGAACGAGCGCATATGCTCTAGTATAATAGTTCAAAGCAGAGAGGTAACTCTTCCCGCTCGCGAGGATGTGCGCGTACAGCATGATGAGGCCGACGTCAGCCTCCTTCGGCACATACTTCTCGCCCAAGGCGCCACCAGAAGGACACTCGCCGGTGAGATTTGCCGCACCAGTCTTGCGCTCCCCAGTTAGCACTTGGTCCATTGCTTTGATCTGCCGCAGGAGATACTTCTGGTTGGCGTTGTTGTGGAAGACTTCTAGTCCGTTTTTGCTCGCCGTTATGCTTGCCGTGAAGAGGTTGTAGGCCTCAGTTGTGAATTGGAAGGTGGTCATAAACCAGCGGGAGAGCATGGAGCAGGAGTCGCTATCGCCAACGTGGATTGCGCAGGCTAGGTAGTGGTGGGAAATGTCAGCCCCAAGAGAAGTGGATGGGAATCAGTAGGTTACCTAGCCAAGTGATATAGATTATGAAGGTTCTCTTTTTATTATGATAAAAGACGTTTGCGTCCTTCGCGGCATTGCACACATCGTAGGCATCTTGATGGTTGTCATATTTAGCGAGGCAGATGGCGTACTGCATAAAGATGTAGAGCCATGTATCAAAGTCCAGCCCACGGAACCTTGATAGATGCTCCGGTTCTTCAATTTCTTCTTCCTCAAAGGCTGAAATCAAGGTCAGCATCATGGACAGTCACTCGACTGTAAAACTTGACTCGCAGGGGGAAACCCCATACTTAGAGATTGTTTGAGACGATCCTGCATCTTCTCGATCCGCCTTGTTTCACCTAGAGCCAATGCTCTTCGCTGCGCGGTCGTCATGAATCCTTTAAACTTATTTCTTCTCTCATGAGGGTACAATGCTCTAGTATTTCGGAAATCATCGACCAAGTCTCCCGCTGTGTCCAGCCATTCCTTCACAGCCTCCGGGTCACCAGCTTCCATACTCGACCGTAAGTATTCCAACTTCCTGTACCGAATCTCCGTCTGCTCCGTCCTCTTCGCATTCATCTCCATCTTCTCCGCCTCGCTGAGAATGCCCGTCCTCTTTCGCTTAACCCTCTCGGGTATGGGCTGATTCGGGAAGAACGCCAACGATTCCGCTTCCTCTGCCTGCTGCGCAGTCGCCGTAACGGCCTTCATGGCTTTCTCCGCTTTCTCCTTCTCCCGACGCATGCCGATTATCTGATTGACAAGGTCCAGGGCGTCCACTTTTCTGCCCGTGACCTCATAGATTCCCGCTAGCTGCATCATTGCCTCATCGTCTTTCGGATACGCTTCTAAAATGGTGCCATAACAGTCCTCGGCATCTTCAATGTTGTCAAGGCCTTTGTAGCAGTCCGCCATGTTGAACCAGAGCTTGCGGTCGAGGTATACAGCACCCTCTACTACCGCTGAGTAGTAGGTGATTGCTTCATTAAAGTGACCACCACTGTGGAGGGCATCGCCGACCTCTTGGAATAGATCACTGTAGGTGGGGGAGTCTCGGGCTTCAGTGTGGAGATGTTGAAAGTGATGCTGTTATATATTTGTAAGCCTGGAACAGACAATTCACTAGTAGATATTTCGTAATTCCACAAATTACATGATGAATTCGTGGAGAACAAGGGATGGATACGGCTGGGTCTAGATCTCCACTTACCATAGCTTCCTCCATATTCTCCAGTCGTAATCGACATAAACCCAGTTTAACCCTCAGTTCCAGCGGGAGACAATAAGACTCCTTTTGGAACCGACCAGCCTCAAACTCTCTGACCATGCACCTCCTAGGCCTATCGTCACTATCCCATTCTCTGTCATCCTCATTGGTCTTATCCCAATATGTTTCTGCAGCTCTGCCATATAACCATCGGCCAACGGACCCAATGGTATCAATAGCCTCAGTCCACTGCTTCTCCAAGCAATACAACTCAACAAATATGTTCAACTCAGACCACCCAAAAGCATTATCCGGGTTCCCAGCAGCCTTGAAGTGATCCACACTGCGCCTATAATACTCGACCGCTTCAGGAACCTTGCCCATCTCGATATACAACCCTGCCAGCTCCTTTAAGACAGACATATCATTTGGTAGAAACCTATTCAGCGTCACGAAGCCCTCAGCAGCCTTATTTAGACTCCCCAACTCCTTAAGCAACAGCGCTCGATCATATATAGCATCAATATTATCAGGCTTCGCACTGATAGCCCGATTATAACAATAAACTGCTTGATCCTTATACGCTCTATTGTCAGTCCCGTACTGGTCAAGACTCATCTTAGCACACATAACCCACAGCTCCCAGTCCTTGGGCCGTGCGTGGGCCGCCGTCAGCCACGCAAGCAAGCATTTGCGCTTGTCCCCCTTCTCCTTGAATATCTCACCAAGGATCTTCCACGCCGAGTAGACTCCCGGCTCAATATGGATTATCTGCTTGACGAGTTTCATAGCCTCATCCAGTTTACCGAAAGCGTAAGCGGAGTTTGCCTGGCCGAGGAGTCCACGGATTTCGAAACTGTAGACCTCGTCCCCGATTTGACGACGCCCCCCCGTACGCCGAGATTTCTTGAAACCGCTGGCCGCGCGCAAGTCAGCATGGAAGGTGTCCATTTCGTTATTGAGGGCGTTGAGGGAAATGTTTTCGTCATCAATGTCGGAACGAATGGATCGGCTGGGGAGGTGGGAAAGTCAGTAAAGCAGTGATGAGATCCATGGAGGGGAATAATGAGCGAACCCCTCATCATCGGTGAAGTCGTCGAACGCTCCCAGCGCAGGGTCAATATCCTCGTCGGATTCCGCATAATCTGGATCGGAGTCTTCGTCGTGGTATACTTCACTGTAGGACCGAAGGATTAACAAGCTAGTACTGTAGAATTGCAAGCAAAGTCAGGAACACCGACTCGAACTCTTCAGCTCCGAATTCCTCGTTCATAAAATCATCATCCTCAAAATCATCGCGCTCCATCGATTAAGGCCCTCTGTGAAAACCAATACTGTTAGATGGCCGGAAGGTCCGAGCCCGATACAATCCAAAGGAATAAGTTATTTGGAGGGATAGCGGCAGTCGGTTTATTAAGGACAAAGCGAACCCGCCGGTAGTATGACATGATATCATACATCCCATGAATCGTTGAGTTTGACTTTTGAGCCTCAACTATGCTCAAAGTTACCCTACCATGAAATCTTGGCATCACAAACAATTTTTTAATTTTCCTTTGATTTTTGACAATCATTCACAAATACCACCGCTACGGCCCCGCGAGTACAACTTTTGCGATAAACATCAATCGATCAAACAAGTTGACCGAGCAACCGCCATGTCTTCCGACGAGATTGTCTGGCAAGTGATAAACCAGCAATTCTGCTCTTTCAAGTTAAAGTACGCAGTCTCCCCGCACAATTAGACCAACTTACCCCTCAGCTGATACTCTTCTCATCTCACGATAGAACAACCAAAGGCCAAAACTTCTGCAGAAACGAATACAATGTTTGATCTCCCTTCCTCAGTTCCGCATACCACTACTTCTACATCAATATCTAACCAACACCACAAAAACACAGGCAACCGGCCTCTGCAACCGCCAGTCCTGCCCACTAGCCAACTCCCGCTACGCTACTATCCGCTCGGACAATGGCATCCTATACCTATACATGAAGACGATCGAGCGCGCGCACATGCCTAGCAAACTCTGGGAGCGCATCAAGCTCTCGCAAAACTACGTGCAGGCCCTCGCACAAATCGACGATCGATTGATCTACTGGCCGAAATTCCTCATACACAAGTGCAAGCAGCGTCTCACCCGACTTACTCAAGTCGCCATCAAGAGCCGCAAAGTGGCCCGCGAGGATGAGCTCATGGGCGAGAAATTAATCGGCGTTAAGCCAAAGGTCAAGAGGCGTGAGGCTACAAGGGAGAGAAAGGCATTGGCGGCTGCAAAGGTTGAGAGGGCGATTGAAAAGGAGCTCGTGGAGAGATTGAGGAGTGGGGCATATGGGGACAAGCTGTTGAACGTCGAGGAGAACATTTGGAAGAAGGTGCTTAGGGGCCTGGAGAAGGGAGGGGAGGTGGAGAGGGATTTGGATGAGGAAGAGTTGGAGGATGAGGATGAATTGGAGGACGAAGATGAAGATGAGGATGCCGGCGAGATAGAATACGTATCTGGCGATGAAGACCTTGAAGAAGAAGAATTAGGAGACTTGGAAGACTGGCTACAGGATAGCGGCGCTAGTTCATTCGAAGAGGGTGACGACGAGGACGACTCTGATAGCTCTGGCGGCGATGAGGAAAGCTCAGGGGAGGAAGAGGAGGACATCAAATCTACTCAGAAAGCACCCATCAAGAATGCCGCAGAAAGCAAAAAGCGCAAGAGAACCCAAACTCCTCAGAAGCCGAGGAAACGTACCACCCCCTTCCCCACCCCCTCCCGTCTTGCCTATCTACTCGATCCCAATATGCTAACAGCTTCAAACAGGCGGCGCCCACGTCGAAGTCCAATACGAAGAAGAAGAAGCCCTCCTCCAGCAGTGAGAAATGGCATCCCAAAATTCTCCCAGTCATCCTATCCCATGCCTCACAAAATGACCTCATACTCGGTGTCAATCACTCTCGTCTCCCCACTTTTCCCTTCCTCCCTGTTACTGCCAGAGTTGTATATATAGAGTCGCTAGCGCAGTATTGTCCACCAAATAGCGCAAATAAAAAGTTTTATTCCATCTTTTTACTTTTATTTTCCCACTATTACCCCAGCACCATCGCTCCCTTCCTTCCCCTTCTCCCCAAGGAACAGACAACAGATTAAATTAAGACCCTACCATCACTCTCATGCATTCAACTAGCACAGATATTGATTTAAACGCAAGACAGGAAGTATCAGTTTAGCAGGCAAGGCAGGCAAGGCAGGCAAGAGGGGCGAATGGGCAGAGAAAAAAGTTTCTACCGTACAGTACTTGAAGCCAAGGAAAACCCGTCAACTCAAAATACATTAGACTAAAATAGGTACTATCGGTACGAGCACGATTCCCACCATCGCCAACCACGCCAAATTCCATATCCCTCAAAGAAGCGAAAAAAAAGGGGAGAAGGAAACGTTGGACCGCCGCCACCACCCCCGACCGATCCAGATTCAGATCGAATAGGGTTGATAATATAGAGGCACAAGTTGCAAAGAAAGCAATATGGGCAATATCTCACTCATCCTCCCCCTCCGCAGTATTATAAACACTCTCATCGAGGGTCTCCTCAGCCCATAAGCCAGCAATATGCTTCTCTCTGAAGCCAGGCCGTCCACGGTTCGGCCTTTCCGTATCCTCGCTGCCAATATCGCTAGTGACTTCTTCGTCCGCGCGTTCGGTTCCTTCATCATCCGACGTGGTAGTCTCCAAATCCTCCGTGTCGATCTCCAGCTCATCACCAGCACCGTCTTCGTCGAAACCAACCCTTCGCCGGTCGACGACCTCTTCGCCCCAATCGCCGACCGTGGTGAGCCCTTTAAGACCGCCCCGCCAGGGCCTGCACCTCTTAACCAGGCTCCCGCAGCGAAGACATGTCCACCCGTCTCCCTCCTCCAATTCGATCTTCCCGGCTAGACATACGTAGCAGTAAATATGTCCACAGCCCACCGCCTCATACGGGTTCACCACATCGGTGGCTTTCCCGCCCGGGGCTGTGGATGCAGCGCCCATGACTTCGGCCACACCATCCGTCTCCTTGTGACATATGGCACAGGTGCGCTCTGGGAGGAAGCTTAATTCCCCGTAGCCCTCGCCGGTGGGAATGGTGGTGGCGGCAGAGCTGCCGCGGATTTTCCGGTTGAGGCGGGCCCACCAGCGGCGCCAGCGGCTGACTCGAATCAGCGGGAGGATGAAGAGGAGGAATTCGGTGAAGGCGTGCCAGACGAGTTGGCGGTTGAGGTATTCGAAGGAGACCTCGCGCGAGACCAGTCTAGTTGGGGAGACTAGGCGCATGCGCAGCGCTCGATCGAGGAGGGTGCGGTAGTGGCCTGTTACTAGGAACGCAGTGAAGGAGAGGAGGGTCAGGCCTGAATGGAGGGTTGAGAGGGATTCGACAAGGCTGGAGAGGCGTTCTGTGAAGGGGGTTGACTGCGTACGTTTTTTGTTAGAATTCGGGGAAAAAAAAATCACGTTCTCTATTAGCTTGAGGGGGGAACGTACGTCCTCCGGATTCGATCTAGAGAGGAGGAATAGGTTCATCCTAGAGAACATGTATCTACCACCGACGGTAACGAGACCGTACAGGGATCTTTGAAGAGCTGTTGGAGGCTGGTCTATCGGCCCCTTCGATCGGGCATCGACGTATACTAGGTTTTGCAAGGCGGCACCATATGTCGCGTTATGGTCCCAGATAGTAAGCTTGAACAAGGCCGCGCGAAGCAAAAGTAAGAACTCCGGCTCGTAGGATTCCTTAAGAGACGGCTATTCCCACAACTCCAGTCATCAGCAAGTAGGATTACCACACAATAGCAAACGAGACATTCCGACCATAAGCGTGGCACAAAAGCAAAAACAAATAACAAGCATTAAAGAGAGAAAGAAAGCATACCCTAAAATACTTGAGCCCATTCCACAGCTGCCCCTTCATCAATTCCAACAATTCCTCATCAAGCAATTCAGTGTCCAGCTGCCCGACCCTAAACGCCGGCCTCCCCCCCGTGCCATTCCTCACGCCGAAAAAACTGGCAGCCCGATTCCGTCCCGAAGCTTCCCTAGCCCTCTGTTCCTGCAAACGAGTGATCCGCTGCTGAGCATGCTGATGAGCTAGTTGCCAGTCCGTTGTCGATGGGTTAGCCGTGGTTGCTGTGGTTGCTGTTGTTGTCGTGGCTGTTGTTGTTGCTGTTGCTGCGGACGCAGTTGCGGTGATTGTAGCCATCGTGTGTGATGGGGGGACATTGAGTGAAGGGGTTCGGAAGTCTGGTTGAGTTTTTCGCGATAGTGTTCGGGAAAGGGGGGGGTGCGAGGGCGCGATTGGGCCGCGGCTGTCTTGCTTTGCTTTGCTGGGTCGCGAGGATGCACACGCACACACCACGCTACAAGTACTCGAGTACACACCTTAGAGTCCTGCCGAGGCTAAGGTGTAGGTTGTGATGGGCGGATGGTTGGTTCCTTGTGCCTGGTTGTGCCTGGGGTGGCGTAGCCTAGGTACTGGTGGCATCCCTTTCGAGTGAGGACATGTGATCTTAGAGTGTGATTGCACGGTATCATGATCCCGTGATATGATACATGCGTTATCTCTCGTTTCAGTCGTATTAAGAAAGGCTCTTCTGTACTGTACGGATACCGGCACCGTACCCCGCCGTGCTCGTACAGGAATTGGTATGCTTTATGTAATATCGGTGGCATATCCTGTACAGTACAGTACAGCACAACCGCGTCTGTACGGTTCTCAAACCCCTCCTTGCACCTCAAGAACTATACCTATTAAAAGAGGAACAGTGGGAACTTTTCGGATAACTGTTCCTAGATATGTTCCTCTAGGGAGACTGTAAACTTATATCACGATTTGTTTTACTGAACAATAAGAAGGAGAAGGTGCTCGAGGGGGCATAAGGGGTAGAAAGGTGCAGCTGCGGCAGTGCGCTGCTGGCATGTGCATCTCTCTCAAGCACCCGAACACCGTATTGTGCACACGGAATCAAAAACACAGCGCTTGCACCCATCGCCCGCATGCGCGCACAGTACTCGAGTACTGTACGAATACCCGTACTGGGCAATCCTTCAAGCATCCGGAATGAGAAAAAGCAAGTGAACCGTTAAGGTGCAGCAGGTGCCTGCGCAGGCGCCTACCGGTAGTTTTGTGGAGAGAGCCGTAACTAACCCAAGCCTGAGGTCGGGTACCGGTACCGGTATGATAGCTCGCCTTCCGAATATGGCCGAGTATCTTGGCCTCTTTCCATTCAATACCTACGTCCTTGCGCCCGGACAAACCACGAGTACCCGGGTATCCGATAGGACTGCTCTCTGTGTATGGCGCTCTACTGGGGCGCCAGAATTAAAGATTACCGGCATCACTACCGGTATCACAGTTGCTGTAACCAAAGATTCCTGGCCATGAAAGTGTTAAGAAGCGTCCATATGGCACCACCAGGCTGCCCAGCAGGCCTAAAATACCGGCATCCCCAAGATGCTGGTAAGCTCGAGCGGCAACCCAACAGACGGCCCGAATACCGGTACGGGACTTCCGTCTCTGGTCGGTATAGATTTTCCTATGATTCCTCCAGAACCGGGGAGTCGGTTGGTACGAGTACGTGCCGATCACTCCCTGCTCCATGTTAATAACCTTGAGTAACCTATGCTTTAACCTAGGGCTGGTGGGGCACGGTCTTGTTTGAGGCAGGGGCCCGTCGGGCGTGTTTCATCTTCGATACAGTCTGGGCGATGCGGCGGGGTATCATTATGGATAAGCTAACCATTGGAGACAATGAAAAGAGATATTATACCGGTGGTGGAAAAAGAATTTTAAAAAAAAACATCCCAGGAAATCTTCTTCCCTAAAGAAGAGTTTTTCCATTTTATTCTATTACATTCCTTTGGTTAAGGACAACTTATTTTCGCTTCCTAGATCTTGATCCACCCCTCCTCCCTCCTCCTCTCCCTTGTTGCTGTTACGGCACAGCATTGTTCTGCAGTTCTCTACCATTCAGTGTCAGAGCCCCCTCGTACCGTTCGTTGCCTTGTGTCGTCCTCCTGCCGGTATCCCCCCTACCGACTCGTGCCCTTCAGCAATTCTCCCTCTCCCACTTCCTCTGCCCAACCCAACCGGGCTATCTCATCTCGCATCGCGGCTGCCCTACACCTTGAATTCTTTTGGCGCTCTCCTCTTCCTGTACAATACTGCTTACCACGAACAAGTCTTGCACCTCTCCTCCCCCTAGCCCCCCCGGGAGAAGGGAAAGCACCTTGAAAAATTAACACCATGAGTGCGGCGAGTGGAAATGCTGTTCCCCTTTCCCCCCAATTTCTCCTTGAGGCTTTACAAGCTGCGAGTTCACAGTCCCAGGAGCTGGTAAAGCACGCATCTGCCCAGCTTAAAGATTGGGAGACCCGACCTGGCTATTGGAGTTTACTTCAGGTTAGAATTTCCGCCTAGTTTTATCTTCCCCTCCATTACCCTACCCCACTCACTCTGTGAATCACTTGTGGGGATTCTGATTTGACTTTTGTTGCTTTGACATTCGCAGGATGCTTTCTTCGACCGATCGTTACCAGTAGAGATTCGATGGCTTGCTATCATTACGTTGAAGCAGGGAGTAGACAAGTACTGGCGGAAAACCGCAAACAAGCATGTTCCACTGTTTTCATCCGCTGGGTTTATGAAGAATGTTTCACTAACAGCCTCCGCAGTGCAATGAGTAAAGACGAAAAGGCCTTTTTACGTTCTCGCCTGCTCTCTAGCTCAATTGACGAACCTCATCATCAATTAGCTCTTCAGAATGCCGTTATTGTTGCTAAGGTGGCTCGTCTAGAGTACCCGTTCGACTGGCCCGAAGTTTTCACTGAGCTCACCTCTATAATCCGGGATGCGTCGCGGTCTACATCTGAGACCGGTGGGGATGAGGTAGCTACGCTACGCTTGAAAAGATCTCTGTCCATGATGCTCCATGTAGTCAAAGAACTAGCGACAGGGCGGTTAGTCCGCACAAAGGCCAACTTACAATCCGTAACCCCGGAAGTCTTCAAAGCACTCGGGGGTGTCTATGTTCGTTATGTCGAAGTTTGGCATGCTCTCCTTGACCAACGGCCAGCACCTGCCAAGCTAGTTGATTCAATGACGGTCTCGTTACTGACTCTGAAAGTTCTCCGGAGACTGATTGTTGCCGGTTACGAGTTTCCTAATAGGGTGGCAGAGGTTCGGGAGCTTTGGTCCATCCTCTCTGGCCAGGTATGGGCCATATTCGAAGCCGAGAAACAGATACCACCTATCGAAGAGGCGGTATCGACGCTTTTAAAAAAGCACGTAATTAACATCGGAAAATTATTTTTGGAGGTTGGGTCAAGCCATGCAGCGGCTTTTGCATTATTACCCGATACACTCCGGTTGCTTGGGAAATACTGGGAGGTCGTGGTTGATCATGGAAACTCGCTGATGCAACAGAGCAGTCAGCAAGTCAACGGGGAATCAAATGGGAAATCCGGAGCCGAGCAAAAAGCTGAGGGAGAACGCACCAAGTTTAGACAGAGAGTGGCGCTTCAAGGAATGCTTTTATTCCGAAATTGTCTCCGGACAATATTTAGCCCAGTAGCTACCTTTAAATGTATTCAAACCCCCAACTAGTAAGCTCACACAGACTGACCGGAGGGCTTTTGCAGACAGACACAAGGCCGAGAAAGATGAGACCAAAGAGGCGACCACTGTCTTCAAAATCCAGCTGTTCACCCCGGAGACTGTCACCCACTGTATGGAGGTACTAGTGACGAAATATTTTGTGATACGCCCCTCGGATCTGACTGAATGGGAGGAAGACCCTGAGGGTTGGAGTGAGCAGTGGGAGAATGCCGTGGAGAGTTGGGAGTTTCTCATAAGGCCTTGCGCCGAGAAGCTGTTTATGGATCTGGTTCTCAACTTTAAAGAGACTCTTGGGGAACCATTGATGAGAGTATTTAGCTCAGTCTCGTCTGATGAGAAGAGTGACGTTCTCATAAAGGATGCCATATACACGGCCGTGGGCCTTGCGGCGCCAGTGCTTCACACTACTCTTAACTTTGATCAATTCATGCATAACACCCTCGTGAAGGAAATCCAGATCCAGCAGCCAGGATATAACATCCTTCGCCGCCGGATTGCCATCCTGATTGGGCAGTGGGTTAGCGTTAAGATCTCGCCCGACTCCCGCCCCACCGTTTACCGGATCACACAACATCTCCTTAATCGCGAAGATCCTCTGAATGACTTGGTGGTACGACTTTCGGCTGCTCGGAATCTCAAGCGGAGCGTAGAAGAGTGGGAGTTCGGGGTAGAGTCGTTTCTTCCATATGTGGATGATTTGTTTACGAAGCTCATGAGTTTGATAAATGAGGTAGAGCAGACAGAAGTAAGAATGGGGCTGTTAGACGTCATCGGGGTTGTCGTAGAGAGGCTGGAGCATAGAATAGCTCCCTATGCGGAGAGTATCATTACCATATTGCCACCACTATGGGAACAGACTGGGGATGAGCATCTGTTTAAACAGGCGATCCTAACCATCCTCACCAAGCTTGTCTCGGCGATGAAGGATAAGAGCTTACAGTACCATCACATGGTGATCCCGCTTATTCGGTTTTCGGTGGAGCCAGGCTCGGTGGGTATCAGAATAACTCCATGACCCCTTCCGATCAGTTTTTTGACCAATTATTTGGGATACGCGGACTGACAATTTCATAGGGCATGCAAGTGTACCTCTTGGAAGATGCGCTTGATTTATGGGAAGCGGCTATCAGAGCTACCCCTGCGCCTGCACCGCAGGGGCTGCTGGATCTTGTCACTTACCTCTTGCCTTGTGTAGAGCTCGGAACCCTAACCCTCAGGAAAGTACTCGACATAATCGAGAGCTATGTCATCCTAGCACCCCGGGAGATGATTGAGGTGCATCGCGCGGGGATGTTTGATGCTTTTGCCTCCTTGCAGGGCACATTAAAACCGGAAGCGAACGGCATTATCACGAGCGTTGTCGAGATTGTAATCAGAGCCGCAGAGGCGCTGGGTGGAGAGCAAGCGTTGAGTGTGGTCGGTAATGAGTTGATTCGGAGCGGCTTCTTACCCACCCTCCTCGAAGGCATAGAAAAGAGCCATGAAGCGCATCAAACCACTGGTCCAAACAGGAGGTACGCGCCATTGGATGCCATCGTAATGACAGACTACTTCTCGGTGTTATCAAGGATGGTGTTGGCGAGCACCACGATGCTCGCGGAGAACGTGAGAGTTTGTGCGGAGAGGAAGGGTCGCACAATGGATTCTGACATGGAATGGATTCTGGAGGAGTGGTTCAGACATGTGCGTTTGTGGACCCTTGGCACCAGAGATGCTGCTTCTGGGGTATATAAATTGGTGGTGACAAGTGTTGACGTGAGATTGTGGGCGATACAAATTTAGTTCGGAAACATCGGACATCCGAAACAGAGAAAGCTCGGTTGCATCGCCTTGACAAGACTCCTCGAGACCAACCAGGGATGGATCCTGAAGAGGCTGCAGGATCTCATGACGGTTTGGACTGACGTCGTCACCGAGCTTCAAGAAAACCAGGGGGCCGAGTAAGTTTTGAACTGTGGCTTGTGCAGCATTGAGGGCGTGAACCTCGACTGATAGGGGATACCATAGTGCGCTGATATACTGGGAGGCTGGACAAGAAAGTGTATCCGAAGATGTTGAAACCGCAGAGAGAAGGCGCAGAAAGGAGGTTTGTTTTCTCCCCATCCCACCTAATCAATCTACAATGTTTGTTCATTTTCCACTAACATGCACTCGCTTTCCCCCCTCTCTCCCCACGGTAGCTTCTCATCTCGGACCCGGCTCAGTCGATGGACATTGTAGCGCTGATAAAGCACCATCTGACCAAAGCTCAGAACGAGAATGGTGGACCGGAGGCTTTCAGGAATGACTGGGTGGTGAATGTGGACGACCACGTGCTCGCGGATTTCGGGAAATTGGGAATTTTTTAGTCGACCCATGCGTACCGTACTAGTACATATACCATATTACATAGTGTAATTGCCGTTTGGGCCCCCCTTGCACCGTACGATCTGGCAGACGGGGTGGGAGTCTATCATTGCTGTCATTCTTTCATTCTTTTAATATTTTTTCCCGAAAAAGAGCTGAGGATTTCCCGGATTGTCTTTTTTATCCCCCCCCCCACCTTATCTTTATTTTACCCCACCATTCTTGGTGGTTTAATGTTAAAAAAAAAGAGCCTTTGCTTTTCTCTCCACCATGTGATACCTTTATGGCTTCTTTGTTCGGTTTTTTGTACTATCATATCTCTCTGCTGTCGTTGGGGAGTAACTTAGTGCTGGGGCTCGAGTACGGTACGAGTACAGTACTCTACGTAGGTTTCGGGGGGTGGTGGATTGGGGACGCAAGGAGGAGGAAGGGTAGGCGCCCATCGCTGCAGATGATTTCTCTCTCTCTCTCCCATTCTCCACTTGTGATATGGTCTCGGTCACGATAAACCTGTTCATGGTGGGGAAAAAATAGTCATCTGATATCAAGTTGAATGATGGCCGCCACCAACAAGGGAGTTTTTCTTAGTTTTTTTTTTTGTTCTACAGAAGTGTAGCTAGACAGATCCCTGCTGTATCCATCTCAAATTATGGTATGGAGGCCGTTTACCAATAACCTAATTTACGAGTAGTTTGCAAGGCCAGACTATTTCATTCGTCTTGGGAGCTCGAATGGAATCGTTAAGACAACATCACCATATGTGCTGCGATAGCGAGTGTGAGGAGTTAATCACTGGGAGACGTGACTGGGGAGAGGAAGGAAGGAAGAAAGGAAGGAAGAGGAAAACTGGAGACTTCCAAGACTGTTGGGATGATCTCTGCAGAGGGTCGAAGGAGAGAGAGAGAGAGAGGGAAGGGCGCCACCAGTGGACGAAGCTTACGTACTGTATGATACGAAGGCTTCTAAACTATAATAAACACCTCCAAGTTAGATATGCATCCAGTACTGTGCAGTATGGTAGAAGAGAGACAGAGCAAAGGATTACCGTACGGTACGGTACGGAATACCATAAGAGGAAGTTATATCATATTACGGTACAGGTAGAAATTCATAGCCAACCAAAAGACCAACCCTTCAAAGCCAGAGAGAGAGAGAAAGCAATCAAAAAGTCTCCAAGTAGTGTACTAATATAGTACCGGTATATCATAAACTCGGATGATAATTTATGAGTTTGATAGACCTCCCCCACGGTACTCGTACAGTACCGGCACCAGTTACTCTACGAGGTATATCACGATATCATAGCATTCATTCATTCATTCATTCATTCCTTCAAGATCCCAAAACGGACACAAGGCAGAGACCACGAAACCAAAGAATTTAACTCTGGATGCGAAATCGCAAAGTCTCTATTATCAGGAGTTTCGACCACATTCGCGATGCATGCGTGGAATGCGAGCTGAAGCTGAAAGGTTACACGCATTGCATGCACGCGGCGGCCGTTTGGGTCGGATCATCATCCATTCCCTCCCTCGCGGTCCACTCGTCCGATCCGCGGAGCTCAGCTCTAGACTACCGGCTCAAACGTGACGAACGCAGGAACGGATCCGGGGGTCTCAGCGATTCTGGTTGGGCTATTCGTAACGTACTGTATTGTAAGTCATGCGTACCGTAGCGTAGTCGTGGAGGGAGGCATTCGGATCCCCCCCCGCCCGTCCCCCCAACACACTCCGGTTGGAAGATATTTATTGTACAATACTGTACTGTACTGTGCGCGAGGCATGCAAAAAGGAATGAAGGAATCTAGTGTGCGTACCGTATGACGAATAGGTATCATATCATACTGAAACTTGGCGCTTGAGAGGGGGGTGGGATTTCGAGCACATGAGTTAATCAGCATATGACACTTGTACGAACTCTGTACTCCACAGTACCGTACGCATCACAGCCCTGTCCTGTGTTCCTCAATCCTATGATACCATCTGATAATAGCGTAATGTACTCCACAGCGCTGTACTGTATGATACAGTACCGCACCCTACAGCCGCAACCCGCTATCCCGGATCCCGCTGAACTGGATAAGTCAATTTAATTACCCTGCCGAACCAGTGAACGGACGGAATCTTTGACTCCTCCAATTCCTCAGTTGGGATTGCCCCGTTGAGCCGGATGTTCTAGTCTAACTATAACTTACATGGCTGAAAGTTACCGTAGTCCAGAGGAAGAAGAAGGAAGAAAAAGAAAAAAGGGGTAAAAAAGTACCGCAGTGGAGTAAAAAAGAGTTATCATAAGGGGTTACTCGTACCGGTACGGTACTGAAGATAGAGAAAGAGGAGGGATGATGGGAGGGGAATATAATGAGAACAACAGGATCGTAATTCTTGAAAAAAAAAAACCCCCCCAACAGATATTATCATAATTCACAAGTTCTTCAAGCCTCAAACCTCCGTTACCGGCTCAGTCAGGATTAGAAAGGTAGAGTGTATTATTATGATAGAAGTGACCCGGAAGAGGAGGAGGAATGGAGAACATCTGTGGCCTACCAGTTGGATAATGAATACGGTAGTGTTAAATTTATTGAGATTAAGCTTCTTATCAGAATGGGAATACACATTCTCTCTCTTTTCCCTCCGGACGGTACTCCTCCCCCCCCCCCCCCCTCCCTCTCATTGTTCCGGGTGGAATTTGTGAAATCTCATTATCCGGGATAGCGGGATGCGACTATATCATACTCGAATATGTCGGGGGTCCCGGGTTCCTCTGGTCGGGGATCGATTGCACAAGCTTCCCCTTCCCCCCTTCCACGCCTTGGAAGCGAAAAGGATAGTGGCATGATAGGAATGGATGGCAGGCAGACAGGCGGACAGGCGAGCTAAGAAAGGAAGGGGGGATGACGGGGCGATGTGTCGTGACCCCGATCCCCACTCCATGGATCGAGAAGGCTTTGTTGTTGATATCATATCATAACTGAAGGAGGCTCGGCATGGGTGTGTGAGCGAATCTGGGGGGCTGTTTTTTTCCTTTTTCCATTCCCATTTTTTTCTTTTTTATGATAATAACGCATCTCGGTAGGGTGCTGTGCCGTACCGGACTCTACGCTATTGCACAATACAGGTACAATAGTAAACATATTTCCGTTTGCGTATATGTGGTTAGTATGGAGTTAACACCCCCCCCCCCCTACTTCTGAACCCAAACCCCATTGCCTTCATTCCTCCTCCGCTTTTACCGCACCATACCTTTTTCCCCAACAATTCTTGTCTCTACCCTTCATCCACATTCGTTCCTTCATTCACTTATTCATTGCGTGTGTTTTTTGTATAGTTTCTTTTTTTTTTTTTGAATCCTTCCCCCCTCCCATTCACGGGAACGGGAAAAATAAATGTCAACAACTGAAGCCCCGACCCTACAAAACCGTCGCCTGAGACTTCGCAATGCCCGAACAAACCCTAGCACACTGCCACCCAACTCGAGCTACTGTACACATCGGGGAATGGTGACGAGTCCTATCGATAGAAAGCCCTCGTTTCCGGAGGATAATGGGTGGGAGACGGAGGATCAGGGAGGGGAGGAGGAGGAGAAGGAGGAGGAGGAGGAGGAAGGTGGTGATGACAGCAATGGCGGTGAGGCGGATAGGAAGTGTAGGAATAGGGTTTCGTCTTCTTCGTTGTTGAGTGATGGGTCGACGTTGATTGGTGGCGAAGTGGATGATTGTGGCAACAGGGAGGGGGGGGGCGGTGAAGATGAAGGGAAGGATACAACGGGAGCGAGTGGGGGAAGGAGGAGCAGTAATCGAAGATCCCCCTCACCGCTATTCTCATCGGTGAGCCCTGTTCGCGCTATGACCAGCCCCATCCCCGTGCGCCCAATGTCCATGATTTCGACCCCGAGTCCATACACCTACGCCTCGACCGCCCACCACCGCCGGAACCGCTCGAACGGCGGGGTCGGCAGCGGAGACTCGTCGGGGAGTTCGGCCCGCTACATCGACTACCTCGAGCGTCAGATAGCCGATACGGTCTCGCAGCTCCAGAGTTACACATCTCCGACCGACGGCACCAGCCACGCCGTCAAGATGCGCAAGCTGACGGCCGAGACCCGACTTCTCCGTAGTGAGCTGACGGACTGGGAGAATAAGTTTTCCGCGCGCGTGAAGGAGGAGGTCAACGCTCGCGCTGCTGTTGATAAATCCCTGCGCGCAAAGATCAAGAACTTGGAGATTAAGCTTGAGGAGGCTGAGTACAGGTATAAGACTGCTGAGGTGGACCTTGAGGAGGCCAGGGCTGTGATCTCCGATTTGAAGGGGGTGGAGGAGGAAAACCGGATGTTGGAGTTTAGGATCGAGGCTCTCAGTGAGCTTTTGGCGGACTCGACGAGGCTGGCGCAAAGTTTCGGGGTTGGTAGGGGTGGTTTTTCCTCCGCGGGATCGAGTGGGCCTGGTTCTGTTGTGTTTTCAAAGAGGAGGAGTAGTAGTCTCGGGTCGCCCTCGCCGTCTCCGCCGAGGGCACAGCTGAGATGTGCCACCGCTGCTGCTGCTGCTATTACTCCCGGTGGGGAGAATACACCCGTGGAAAGTCGTAGTCGGAGGGCGAGTCGTGAGGGGAGTACCTGCGTGCTGGAAGACTACGGAATTACCGATCCAATTGAAGCCGTGCTCTGCAGTATGCCCGAACTGACTGCGGCGGGGGAAGGAGGAGTAGGACGGGGGTTCGGATGCTCGGAGGAATACGAAACGGAATTGAATCCCAACACAGCACTAGTCCGAGCATCCCCTCATCCTCCACCCGCAGTCCTACGAAACCGCAGAATGCGCCGCTTCCCCTCCGGTTCCTCCGCTCCAAAAACTCTAATCCTCCCATCCGCCGCTGCTGTGACCGCAACTAGCACCACTGGCACCACCATCACATCCCCGCCCCCCCCAACAATCTCAGACCCTGCATCCGCAATTTTCTCTCCTCTCTCCCGCCCGCCTTCATCCTCCTCTTCCTCTTCTTCCTGCTGCGCGCCTCCCCGACAGGCGCCAAAAGCCGCAACCCCGCAAACCTCCCTCTTTGCAGAACTGGCCCGAGCCCAAGACTCTGGTGAAGACTCAGAGGAAGGAGGCACAGAAGCAGATCTCGACGGTGATGACGGCGATGACGCCACCGCCGCCTCCATCCCCGAAGGACTAGCCAACCCAACCCCCCTCGATGTCAAGGCCATCAGTAAAGTCGGTGAATCCTTCGTCTCACCGCAGGGCACCTTCTTCAGCGCGAAGCGCAAAGCAATGGACATTCTGGGCGGGGTAGTCGGCAATCGCGTTTCCCGCCCTTATCACCACCACCACAACCACCACCACCAGAGCCGCCAGTTACCATCACCAAAGCCACCCTCCTCATCATCGCCATCGTCAAGGCACCAAGCGGGAAAAGTATCGGGCGAAAACAAAAAGAAAAACCCCTTCCCCAAAACCGCCACTACCTGCGCATATTGCCACTGCCACCAACAACCCTCCACCGCTATCACCGCGCCAAAGGCGGTAGCGCTAGCTAGACCAAGGTCCACATCCGCACCACTAGTCTTCCCCCAACCCGTCGAGGAAGCCGTCGAGCATGTGTGGCTGTGGGTCCGCTTCATGGTCGCGCTAGTCGTTGCGCTGGGGGTTGCGGTGCGAGAGGGACCAGGCGTGGTTGTCGCGGTGGATGGGGTCGGGAGTGTTGGCGGTGGCACTAGCGTTGGAGATGGTGGGGGATTCGACGGCGTGGGAGAGGAGGAGAGGAGTCTTGCTATTAGGAAGTTGCAGGAGGGTGCTGTGGGTGGTGGGGCGGCGGAGGGTAGAGGGAGGAGGGGGAGGAGGAGGGTAGGGTTTGGGTGGGGGGAGCAGAGGGTTAGGGTTTGGGAGAGGCCTGGGAGTAGGTAGTTTTGCGGCTTGCGAAACCATCTTGATCTTGATCCTTTTGTGATGTTTCCGACGCTTTGCTGATTCCTTTTTCTTTCCCTTTCCTGTATAGTGCTATTGATTGATTGATTGATTGTGATGCAAGGGTGGAAGGATAAAAGGAAGGAGGGTTCCAAAAGTCCCGGGCTCATCTCGCTTATTCATTTATCATCCATATTATACCTACATGCATGCATACATAAAAACATGTCACGAATAATCGATAATGTCTCACGAATATATTATTTAGTATGATACATACGTTTCCTCTCCTCTTCTTTCCCCCCCTCCTCCGCCACCATCGTGCTACCCCGGCAAACAATAATGCCCACATCCAACAGCGGCGCACTCCCCCCCGGTGCCACCGCCAAAGAACCACTCCCTCAAACACGCATCGTGTCCGCCGTGTCCGCAACCTTGACACATACTCCACCTCCCAACCTGGCCCCAACAAATCACGCATCCATCCACGGCCCCACACTTTCTGCACCTCACACCCCCACCCCCAGCTCCAACCTTGGCAGTGGTAGTGGTAGCAGTAGCGGTAATGGGGCGAGCACACCTGCCACAGGCAAAGTCCAAATGCGTATTCGTCTGGCCGAGAGCAGTGAATTCGGGGAGAGCTTGTGCGCACTTGATCACGCCAGCGGCCACAGAGTGGAGGTTGAAGCGGCGGAGGAGGTCTAGGTATGAGGATATTGATTCTAGGAGGGGGGGTGGGGTGGTGGCCGCGGCGGTGGTGGTAGCTGGGGTGGGGATGTTGAAGAGGTTATTTAGCAGCGGGGAAGGGGAGAGCGCCCGAGAGGAAGATAGGAGGAGGAATATCGTTGTGTGCATTTGCACGTCTGTTGTTGAGGCGTAGTACCCCAGGAGGGTGTGTAAGAGGGGGAGGGGGTGGAGGGGGAATGTCTGGTCCTCTTCCCCTTGCGCGACTCGGCTGGCCCTGTGTTTTGAAGAGGGGGGGAGGTGTATAGATGGTGGAGCAGCAGTAGGCTGTTGAGGCGGCAGTGGTGGTAAAGGGGGCTCTTCCACAATCGCTTCCATCCAGGTCCCGGTTTTCGGGGATGTGCTCTCATCGTCGTCCTCGCTGACGCGGTTATGGAAGTCGCCGTACGGGGATGAGGAAGCAGTCGTGGTCTCGCTAGCCAGCGAGTAGAGCCTCTCCCGTCGCTTCCCCATATTGCCGGAGGCAGAGGAGGAGTATTGCCCGCTTTGCAGCATGTGCGCTGCTGGGGAGCCCGCTGGCTGGTACATCGGGATCGGGGGTATAGGTGAGATGAGCGTTGTGGGGGAGTAGTCGGTGCTCTCCGGCAAGAGAGCTAGTGAATCTATTGACTTACCCTTCCCTGCAGCGCTCATGGTAGCAGTAGCAGTGGAAGTCGTATTATTATTATTAACATTAGCAGTCGTGGTATTGGTTGCCCCATTGTATGAGTCTGCCAAAATGGGCTTGGCTTCTTCCACCCCGCCACTCGTCGCGATGCCTAACAGGGGCCGATGTTTTGCATCCTCCGTCTCATCGTCATTCGCACGTCCCCCGGCATATTCTTCCCCGTCTGTGGAAGTGGTGCTAGAACCAAGACTTGTTCCAAAGGCCGGGGGCGGCAGCAGCAACGCATCATCTACAGCACCACCAGGTCTTCCCAGTGTAGGCGTCGCAGTGCTCCTATCGGGACTAACATGCGTAGGTCCAGCGAGCGGTGTCGCTCCTCCGGAATTACTCTGCTCGACAACAGTCAGTCCTGGCCTCCTCATCGTTAAACTACCCGCTGCTCCTGTTGCCGATGGGAAGCCAGCAGCCGTCACATCATGTCTGCAGCTAATCGCCTTCTCCTCGCGCACGAGCGCGAGCTGAAGTACCTTCCACGTCTGGGCGGTCCTATACTTCTGCATCACCCAGGCTGCCTGAGCGTTCGCCTCGCAGGCCTCTCCGAGCGAAACCTTCGGTCCCCCCATTACACCCTCCAGGTCGAAGACGTAGTTCTGTGCAAAGTAAGAGAAGGACACCTCGTCGAAGAGGCCGGGCACGTGGGCACTCGCGGATGCCTGCGACGGCACGAATATCTTGTCCAGGGTTTCTAGGCCCCCCAATGTTGGTTTTGAGCCCCTGAAGGAGCTGCTTCTCCCGTGTCTTCGCCGGTCATGACCTGCTAGATCATCTTCCGGGTCGAAGCTCCGAGATGTGCTCCTCCGCGATTTGCGCTGCTCAACCATGAAGGTAAAGCTGTCCGTAGGGCTCCAGGAGAATGCCCCATGAGTAAGGGAATTGATGGGTTGGCTTGCAAAGCCGACATCATTTTGTACAAACATACTGTCTTTAGAGCAAGACCACAAGATGTCCTCATCCTTCCAGAGAATACCCGTAACGGCATTCTCGTGCTCGTCCATTATCCTCGTGGGGATATAAGGACGCTTCAGGTCCCATACATGAACTCTGTGATCATTACTTATCGCGCAGGTGGCCAACTCCGTAGTCCCATGTTTCAACGGCCGCCAGGCAATCCGACTAACGGATGTCATGGTGAAGATCGTATGCTTCGCTTTTTGCCTAGCATCAGCGTAAAAGTCCCATACCTTCACAGTTCTGTCCCTGCCACCACTAGCGCAGTGTTTTCCATCGGGATGCCAATCCACAGTGAATGCGGGCCCATTGTGAGCACTAAGGCTCCTCTCGTAGAGACTATCCTTTCGATAGTCCCACCTCTAATCGAACCCGATTAGTGCCCTTTCCGCCAATGATAACAGGTAGAAGGGCGATACCTGGATAGTCCCATTATCAAAAGCCGCGGCGAACTCCACCGCATTCCAAGCATTAAACTGCACATCCCTCACCGCATCCGCCCTCCCCTTAAACGTCAGCCGACTCCCCCTCTCCCTCAAATCCCAAAGCTTGACATTCCCGTCCTGGCTAGCGCTCAGCAGCAACCTCCCATCCGCGGGATTGAATGCCACCTTGTGCACCTGCCTCCCATGCTCCCTCAACTGGCGGTCCAACGCCCCTTTCTTAGTATCGTAGATGCAGATAGTCCCGTTCGTCCCCGCCGTCGCAACGGTGTTCTTCTGATGGACCGTTCCCCATTTTACGTCGTACTGCAGGTGCTTCTTCTGCTCCGTGGGAACGCCCAAAACGGAACCCTCAGTGATCTCATCATAGCCTACACACAGGATCTTAAGGATGCCACGACCGGCGATGACGACCTGGTCGCCCTCTACGTTTGCGGAGAGCGCAAGGATGGGGCTATTGAGGTTATATCGGGTTGTTCGGGGTTTTAATGGGTTTCGACTTTTATTCGACAAAAGCAAATTGTTGTAACCGCTTCAAATCAGCCCTAATACTTCTTTTTTTCTTCTTGTCTCTTGTTTTTCTTTGATTTTCTCCTTTAGAAAAAGAGGGGGGAACCCATACGGAGCACTAGTCGGTAAATTCCCATGAAGCCCACCCCCGGGCCCAGAAGAGCTCGGAGGTCTACTCGTCCCGATAAATGGCTGAGTCAGCCTTGCGAAGACCGCTTTGGAAGACCTGGTATGCGTCACGGCCGGTGCTGGTGCAGGTGTCGGCGGCGGTGGAGGCGGCGGAGGTGCGGGAGGTGCGGGAGGTGCGGGAGGCTGGATCGAGGGATGGAGATTTGACGTGTGGGGGTGGTGGGGGTGGGGATGCGTCAGACCTTGCGAGTGGCCGTGAGGATTAAAGGGATCCGCCATCTCCTCAACCGAAAGTGAGACGATCCGAACCGGTTTGTCGGATAGAGTCCATACGATGGGGTGGATTGCGGATAGGATGGATTGGGGGGTTGTGGCGTGAGTGGGAGGGAGCCGAGTAACTGAAGTGTCGAATGTGAGGCTTTTTACTCGTACAGTGGCTGCGTAAAAGGTCGGTCCGATTGCACCGGATCGGTGGGCAGCGGCGGAGATGGCTTGAGCGATGTCGAGTGAGGGGAGAAGAGGGAGCAGTAACTAAGCTAGGTCTGTATTTGATTGAAGAAACTGGGAGTTGACTCTCGGCGATGAAAGATTGTTTGTCGATAGGGGGAGGTGCGGTGTGCAATGAAGAAAAGTCTGTTTTTTCCTTATTTATCATATAATACCAGCCAAGCACGGACAATATAGCAGAAATAGAGTGAGTTACATAGCAAGATCCGTACCATGCACACCACCACCACCACCACCACCACCACCACCAAAACCAGGCCACCGTCCCATACTCGAGTACCGTATCGTACTTTAGCATTAAGTCATTAATCCCAGTCTCAACTTTCAAGATCAGTCTCCATGGCACCCATGTGTGCGGGACAATCCGGCCCTGTGATCAAAAATCCCTTCCTTTCCCCAGAGACAAGGTACCGGTAAAGGCCAAAGCCACATCCCTACCTCATCACTGGCAACACCACTAGCACCCCTCCACAGCCTCTCACTCGAATAGTCTACTTAGTCACCCCACCCGCGATATAGCTATCGGAAAACCCCACGCTCATCTCACCCCTCCCCGCAAGGGAATTTGGACCACGATAAGAAGAAGAAAAAGAGGGAAAACAAAACCCTCCCGTTCTCATTCACCCCCGATCACTCGAACAACCACATCACCCGCTGCTTCCCTATCCGTCTCATCCATCATGCCAAAGCCCCCAAAACCTTTCCACACGCATCATCACCGGTCAACCGACACAGCCAACACTTCATTCCCCATCCCTCACAATCCCATTTCGATTGGCATGGGGAATAAAAAAAGGGGGGAGGGGTGGGGTGGGAGGACAAAAAAAAGACGGGAAAATAAAAGACTTCACCATGCATAACGGATGATACAGCCATGGTTACAAAAAAAAAAAGTGATCTACAACATGGAACGTATTCCAAACGCTTCTCGGGGGCGGGAATTGACATCATCGCGCCATGAGTGCAAAGATCGCAGAGTACACGACGTGTTCGTGTTTTGTGAAGGGGTAGGGGGGGGATGGGCGGTTGGTACGGTACTGTTCAGTGCTTGTACTCTACTTCCGTCAAACTTTCCAAGGTAGAAGGGTCTGAAGTCCCCCCTCCCGCCCCTTTAAACCGGATGAATTGGTCGTGGAACCTCACTGACACTTAACACTATACTTTACCATACCATACCATGCCGGTGCCGTACTTCCCTCCCTCCCCCTCCTGGAAAAAATGAAAAGAAAAAGAAGAAACCCCACAGGAGAACCCTCCATGAGCGGGGCAATGCTAAAAGCAACAGTAACAGTGGCGGTGTTTAAGCTCCGTACAGGAGAAAAAGCGCGAAAGTTGGATCAACTATGGGATACCGGTATTGCGCGGTGAGAAGGGTAGGATACCCTGAAAAGCTCATTACGTTTTTCGCTATGGGGTCGGTACAATAATTTGAGTAAGGAGAGGGGGGCGGAGAGGGAGAGGGAGAGAGCATAACATGTCCCTATTGGGCCTATCCTGCAATTGCGGATAAACTCAGGCGCCGCCTGGACTAGATGGGAATATCATATATATACATCATACAGTAACCTGTGATATTAATCTACCCCTCCCCCCCGTCTAAATCCCAATGCTTCGAGAATGGACATGAGAAAAAAACAAAAAAACACAGATCTTCACCTGGGACAATTTGGAATACCTAAATTGGAATTAAAATAGGGTGCCAATAGTCTGGTTCTGGATCCGGATTGCTGTGACCTCACAAGTGCCGTAAACTATCCGGTCATGCCCCACCCAAATTTAGCTGTATTTCGGGGTCCAGGGTCCGTGATTCGTCTGGGCACAAACTCGAGTACTTCTGCATTTGTCCGGTATAGATACCCTTACGACGAAAAAATGAAAAAGATAAAAGAAAATACATTCCGAGTGACCCATGGAGAAGAGGGACGTAAAGGAGCGTTACAAATACATAAATACTGTATAAAAAAAAAAAAAAAGGGTTTCGCCCTTAGCTACAAGGGAATCAGGACAAAGTATGATAACAACAATACAGCCCCGGTAGTAAACATCCCAATGATCGTAATAAAACCTGCCTTTGCGCCCAAGGAGAAAAAGAAAGCCCCATTACCTGAAATATTAGACAAGCAGACTAAGACACTGTGCCCTGAATGCTAGGAATAAGACTGAAGCGAAATATAGTATAGTAGTAATATTATGTTAGAAGGTGACTAGTAGTAAGAAAAGCAGTCCGGTAACAATGCGGAAAAAATCACGCAGACAGCCGCAGGGATATCAGGTAACCGAACTCGCGAGGAAAAAAAAAAGAAAGGAGAGGAACAGAAAGAACTCGGATGAAAATATTATGCTCTCTGTCGCGGGATTGGGTTGCCGATGTCGCGTCTAAAATGTGGCGGTTTAAAAGGTAGGCGCCCTGACCAAACCCAAACAGTGCCTCTCAAAGAGCTCATTGATAAAGTGGGGATGGCGTATTCCCGGTGGCCTTGCATCCTTGAAGGCTTTTATAGCCTGCTCCACGCTAAATCCCAACCGTTGAATCAGGTAGCAGCAAACAAAAAATCCCGTCCTGTTGAATCCGTAATGGCAATGACAGGCGATGGTGATATTATCATCGTAGCCACGCTCTTCTCTAATCGAGTCCACGAGCTCAATGAAGCTAGCCACCTCATCCTGAGTTGGGGGGATTTTGGAAACTGTTGGGACTGTGGATACGCTTTAGCACTTAGGGCAACTCGGCCAGGCTTCTCCGCACGAAAGGGAACTCACACTTGTGATACTTAACACCTTCCCCGAGTGCCTCTGGATCATATGGCGGTTGCTCATGGGAGATGTCAATTGCGTCCTTCACGTCTGGCCATTTCTCGCTAAACTCGACAGGGTTGTGTCCGTTCGGGTCGTTCTGTCTTAATGTCTTCATGGCCCTGAAAGGAGATCTCACATACGGTCCTCCCGAGCCATCAATGTAACCACCTATTCTTGGACTAACGCTCTGGATCCGTGTCCACTTCTCAAGATTCTTCAAGAGCCATTTGTCTTCTTTGAGATATAACAGCTGCCAGCCTAGGGACAAGACTTCTGTAACATATCCGGATAGGAACTCTCCAATAAGTCCACTGACAACCTGCGGGGTCTCGTACATCACACCATGCCCGGCATCAGGGATGATGCATTTCTTCACAACGGACCTAGTTCTCGCAGGGGATGGTGAAAGAGATGACGATGGCGTCCCATCTACAGAGCCACCCGTGCTAGCGGTAGGCACAAACCCGCTTCGTTTTGCGGGATCAAACCACGAATGAATCAAGTCCACCTCCTTTGTAGTGCAAAGGATATCTTCCGAAGCCGCTAGAAGGTAAGTTGGGCATTTGACTGAGGTCCATTCCTCCTCTGTTGGTAGGCGAATACCGCTAGCCATTCGTCTCCACACGGGTGTCCGTGCTTCTTTGTTGAAACGCAGCTGCAGTTTTCTGACCTTTTCTGTAGAATTTGGCGCAACAAACCGGGTCACTGAGTTCGACATTATTCCACCCCGACGATCGTAGATCCGGAACAGATTGAACACGAATTCCGGAAGTGCCAATGCTGTCCTTAAGGCTTTCCGTTCCTTCTCGGAGACGGTAGCCTTGGGACAGATTGCTACAAGTCCTGCACACCTATCCGCTAACAGGCCCCCTTCAGCTATAAGGGTTACCGCGTGAGAACATCCCATCGAATGCCCTATAAGGACTACCTGCTGGCCATCCTCAAGTTTCTGGTTAACTACTTCCGCAATAATTTCTACTAATCGGGAAGTAGTATATGCATCCCAATCCTTAGGCGAGAATTCCGAAGAGGGTCCACAGCCCGGCAGGTCAATCGCGAGGGTATGAGATATGTGAACCTAAAATCAGAGGAGTTTCTATCAGCACTAGCGTACCAACCAACGCACCAATATTCAGTGGTTTTAGTCTTATTTATTTATTTTTTTGGTTGGAAAGCCAAGACGTACGAAGAACTCGAGCAAATATTGAAACTGGGACATCTGACCCCCAAGCCCTGGACAACTAGAATCAATCCCTGCGCTAGAAGGACGGCAAGCACAATGACCACATACCATGCAGAAAGACCAGCAGAGGGAGCTTGGGGGGAAGGACAGAAGCCTTAGGATGTGGCCGATAGAAAACACGAACTGCAGGATATGTGTGGTGCTTTGTGGTGACAGATATGTTTTCCGAATGCTTGCGCAGAAGAGAAGAATCTGTACCAATAAGGTTTTCGACAATCATTAGTCTCAGGTCATGGCTGAAGGGGCGTAAATGAGTGACAATATAAAGCACATGAAACCCCAGGGACTCCCGCTACGTATGACGGGGTAGATGAGGGTTAAAAAAAAAAAAATGAAGCGAAAAGTAAGGAAGGCAGGGGGAAGGAGGATGGGGAAAAAAATTTCGTGAGGAAAAAGCAAGCAAAGCATTCAGTAGTGACGGGGTGAACTGATAAGGCGCGGCATATACTTGATGTGATGATACACCCGCCCACGTCGCACTGCCGAAATGGAAGAAGAAAAGAAAAGAGAGTGAGGAAAAAAAAAAAAAAAAAAGAGAGAGCAACCAAGCTCAGAAATCAGTGTTACACACCTGAAACTGATGAATTCGCATTCGAGAGGCTCTCATTGATGCTATGCACACTGTGCCCATCATCTGGAGCTCCCTTTAAGCTTCTCACCTCCTCCGCCTCCTCGCTCCTCCTCTCTCTCAAAGACCGTAGACCGACATATACCAGGGGAACACCACAGAGCACAGCACCGACCATTTTTGGCTGCTTGATATTGCCGATCAGAATTGACCACAAGGCGGCTGGAGTGTACCGGGTCGTAGAGACACTGGAGAAAAAGGACGACAACAATGAGCTCCGTTCCGTAATGGAGCGAGCGAAGGACTTGTCGGCCATTTATTTGTTTAAGAGGCCAAGGACCCAGCGTAACGTTCTAAGTTCTGATCCGAGCACGCAGACGAAAGCAGGGATAGGATTGGGTCGGATTGGAGAAGGGGAGGAAGGTGGAAAATGGAAGGGAGAAGGGAGGGAGGGGAGGGGGGGGGGGGGGTGTGGTCAAAGGTGGTTGATCCAGATGGAACGAACGCCGTTGGTCGTTGCCTCGTCGTGGGTCTCGAGAAGCAATCAGTAAAAAGATGGGGGGATGGATTTATGGATGTATGGGTGAATGCATACGACGCAGGCAAAGGGGGAAAGAAAGCTGAATGGGCGGCGAAGAGCGATAGGATGGGAAAGGGTCTTTTATTTTTCTTTTATTTTTATCTATTTCCTTATTCTTTCGGAGCCTTCTGTCTCTCAGCGGAAATGATTGAATGATGGGCCCGGGGCAACGAGAGATCGGGAGCAGGAAGAAAAGCGGCTGGAATCGGGAAAGAGGGTGAGGGAGGGAGGGAGCGGGTGAGCGAGGGAAGCGATGAATGGATTGACGGAAGTGCGTATGGGTATGGACAGCGTTGACTGCCCGGCTGTAAGAAACGGGTCGGGGGGATGGGAGAGGGAGGAGGAGGATGTTTGGAGCAACCAGCAAACGACCGTGCTTGATGAACGTGTTTGGGGGAAAGAGGGACGGTTCGACAGGATCGAGCGCCGTTCGTGGAGCGGATGATGGACGAATTCTTAGGAGGATTCCCGGATCAACTTTAGAAAGCAGAAAAATCAGCGACCAATTCCATGACATGGGAGCGCATTCGCTCTTGCCCTCTGCTCTGATATCCCCTCTCTCCATTCCTACCCCGTGAGCACTTGCCCCGTTTTCCCCTCGATATAATTCTATGATTGATGTGGTTGCCTATCCGCTTCCCTCCTTCCCTCTCCCTCCCCCGTCCAGCCTTCCCTTCGCCAGCGCCGGGTGCAGGCAATACGGTAACATCTACCCACCGTCCACCCCACCCCGATTTTGGGTGTGGGAATTTTTTATTACTCTATGATACCCTATCCCATTCCTATCTGTACCGTGCGCGGAGAGTGCGGTTCATTATCAGAGAGAGTGAGAGTGAAGGATGCGGAGCCAGTTGCTGCGCCCTCGTCACGTTTTTTGGTGGTTGGCATTTGGCGTCTGGCGGCCACTGACAAATTAGGTCTAGCGGATGTCGGTTGGGCTGCGGAACCGAGGATGGCGCAAGAGCCGGAAAGGACGTGACGGGTGGATTTTTTAGAAGTTGAATATTTTGGATATCGCTCCTCCTTCGTCTTCCACCCTCTCCTTCCCGGGAGAGGGTGGATGCTGTTGGTGGACGGAGACTCCTGAGGGATGGTCGGGAAAGGTATCCCCGGCGCACCCCGGCAAATGATATCTCACATTGCCCTGCCAAGAAACAAAGGTTCCTCAAACAATTCTCACGATGGCTGCGCGCCATTCAATCCTACGAATTGTGCGTCGTAGAATGGGGAGAGCCGCACTCACCCCATACTTAGATTCGCTACCAGGCGCAGGGAACAGGGAGAGCTCCCGAGTCCATCCACGGCCATCGGCAGACAGCCCTGGCGTCGAGCGGTGCGGTTGAGGAACCCATGCGGGTAAACGGTTGCATTGCCGAGAAACATGCGCCATGAAGCGTATCCGGACGAGCACGCACACGGAACGCATAATCAATCATTAAATCGTCCTAACCAGCAAGCTCCGCCCCACCTTGGCCCGTCCTTCCCTCTCCCCCCTTCTCTCTAACCCGCTCTACCACGAGCTCACTCACACACAGGCAACCAAATTAAGGGATCAGGCAGATGCTGGGGATAGGCTAGGAAAGCCCATAGAAAAGAAAAGAAAAAAGTCTGACAGGCACAACCTAGTTTGTACAGGAATCCACCCTTCGACATCGGACCGGAGGGGGCTATGCTTTTATATATATATTTATTCTTCTTTACCTGAAGGCATGAGTTAATACCTGATTTCATAATCCCCTCCCCCCTATTGATTCTTGGACCGTGTCACTGCTCGCCGCTCCTCCCCCGCCGCCGCTCTACCTCTTTCCTTACCCCGACACCCCGCCTCCGCCTCCTCCAAACACCACGGTTCTTTCATTCGTAGGGAAAGTAGCAGGCGCATTCGCGGGTTATTAGAGAACAACTCGAAGGAGGGGGAGGGGCAGCGGCTTTTTCCTTTTTCCGTTTTTTCCCATTTACCCCCTTCCGTCTGGCGAGGTGGGGTAAATCCGTACTTGTACATACTAAGATGTGGGGTAACCTGATAACTGACTGAGGAACACGCATGCCGGAGATCGCTTTCATGTCGGAGAGAGTGCAAAAAAAAAAAAAAAAGTGAGAATAGTAGAGTAACTA